CCCCCCCAGTTACTGCCCTGCATAGTACACCTCCATTTTGTTGTTGATTTTTTATGATAGATCCTAAATGTTTTTAAAATTTGATTTAAAATAATATCCCCCAATTATCACTATGAACTTGTTGAAAGTAAAATATTTCGCGAAAAAAATTTTTGATGTAAATTATTGTTCTACGACTATATGTCTTAAAAAATAGCTAAAATTAGTTGAACTTTAGGTATGTAAACCAATCCAATGGCCGAATTTATAGAATTTGAACCGCGTCCAGTCGCGGTTTAAATTTAGTTGGTTAAAAAAAATCAGTGTATTGAGATTGGAGCCGGCGCTCAATTGTGTTATTGGCAGTTCAATGATGCAGTTCAAATTCGTTAAATTCGGCCTCAAGAACATTTTATCTTCGTAATTCTACTGAGTTACCCAATCAAAATTTAAGACAAATCGGCTTCTTGGTTCCTGAGTTATACTCGCACATACAAACAAATAAATAAACAAACGTTGAAAACTACTTTATATACATACTTATTTATATACATAGACATTTTACTTTCAGGATTAAGCGAACCCGATGCTAAAGGAAAAAAAGGAAAAAAGAAAAACAATTCTAAGAAGACGCTTACACTTCAAACTTTTCTTCATAATAAGGTTGTCTGCAGGGGTGTATTCTTTAAGAATCGCCCCCCCCCCGCCCACATGTTAGCTNCTGATCATCTTCAAAAAGCAAACAACTCGCTTTGTTCACACTGTTTAAGGAGGACTGTAGAGAAACCGCTTACGTAAATCTACAGTTTAAAGTAACAAAAACAAACATACATCGATATCTAATTCATACTTGACCAGACAAAGCTTAAGGGTACTGTTGTAAAACATGGCATTGTCATCTTTGCATTGAGGGTCTTTAATTTACGCTAACTGTCTTGTGTTATCATGCAGGACAATAGGTGTTTTGACCGGGATTTTATTTTTTTCGTTTGTTTAAGGTTTAAATTCAAGACTGTAATCCCGAACCTAGTGAGGGATTAAAATTCTTGAATTTAAACCGAAAACAAACAAAAAAAAGTAAAAATCCTAACAAAAATATAATTTACCAAATGATAACACAAGACAGTTGGATACATCAATTTATTCAATTCAAGTTTCATAAAAATTGGCGATTTTTTATTAAAATCCGAGAAATAAAAAGGGAAACCTGCTTTGCCGGTAAAAAATGTTGCTTATTTTTCTCGGAACAAGTATGAAACTATTTATATCCAAGATCATGAAATTGTGGGTAAAAATGCCGGATAAAATTGCTCTTAAAATTGAATAAAACCCATTCCCCCCACTCTTTTTAGAAAATAATTTTTTGTCCCAAAAAGAATGAAATCACCAAAACTCATCCCCCTGTCACCTAGGGTGGAGGTAATGTTGAAAAATATTCACCTTTGGAGAAAGATGACTAGGTCTTCTCTGGTTCCAGAATCGGACAGTACTGATTTGCGAATTATGTAATCCTCTTTCGGGGATTTTCTTTCTCTACATTATTATATTTAGGAAATCTATAATAATCTACCGGGGAAGGCTGGGGATCATACACAAATATGGAACTCTAATTCTTCAACTACTTCTAAGGTGAGTGAAAAGACAATTTTCACAAATTTCAAAAAAAATTTGATTTAAAAATTTGACGGAGACAGAAATTAAACGTTATTTCATAAAGTTTTATTTATTTGAAATAAAAAATAATAATTCAATTGAAAATATAGATTTTTTTATTGGATCTTCATATCTATAAAGCGGTACGTGTTAAAAATAAGAAATACATTTTTAATAAACTATATACAATGAAGAGAAAAAACGTTTAAAAAATCGAAACAATTTGCCTTTTTAGATTGTTAGAGGAAGTTTTTTTTTATGATTAAGACACAAACTACACAGTTTTAGCAATTTAAAAACTACTATTTTTCCTAAAATAGAATCACAAATCATTAAAATGAAAGAATATTGTAAAAAAAATAAGAAAACAAATAGCTTACAAATATTTCTAAGAGAGGAATTATAAAAGTTTTAATTTTTTAGACTTCTACCTGGACCCCAGGATCAGACTCAGGAATTTTGTTATTATTTATTAATCTTTAAAAAAAATCTTAAAGGGACTGAAAAGGAAAAATGAAAGGGGGTATAGGCTGAAAGCTTATCACTTTAGCTCTTGATCGCGACCCATGAAAGTTATATCTGATGTTCCTATCTCGAGAAATTGATATACAGGTCGTAATACGTTGTCTTTAGGTTGATTGTTAATAATAATAATAACAACTGTGTAAAATTATACGAAAATTAATATATATACAATTTTGTATAAAAGTAGAGGGTTTAAATAGATCAAATTCAGCAAATAGGCAAACAATCTGAAAACGATGATATCCCAGAGAAAGCTAATTATTACTTAGGTTTACTCCAATTCTAATTTTATATTTGTTATTTTTATTTTTAATAGATTTAATTCATGATATTATTTATACGTCCGTATTACTTGATCAGAAATTCCACCAATGGCAGTGCAGTAAAGTGGTCACGTGATACAGGCGGAGACACGTGATCAGTATACTGCTCTGCCATTGGTGATAGTTCTGGTCACGTGATTTAAGTTT